ATGAAATGCGCAATTCTGTAATCGAGCATCTACTCACTTTGAATGATGGTCCATACCGCCACAATTGATCAACGCAGGAGCGGAACCTTGTCGGGTGTGCACAGGCCCTTGGTAAGGTCCACTGAAGTGCGTTGAGGATACCGAACTAGGACTGAGTGTCTGTCGACCACTTGATCCTATCCCGTCATCACTCGAGCCTTCCCTCGAGTGTCCCGCCGAGGAACCTCGTGATTTCACAGACACAGGTCGTTGATTGAACGAGATTGGTATTGTATGCTGTAATTTTCACTCGTTTTTCACATGCATTCTCAACCCCTCAGTGATGGTTTGCATGTAGCTTTATAACGGCTCTGATACGCTCAACAGTTTAAACGTGATGAACGAGTTAGACATGTTGTGATAAGTCTGATTTCCGATTACGGCTGCGAAATGGAATCACTAATCGAAAAATCTTTGCATGACACAGATTAACTAGAAATGACTCATTTTTATGAATTCTGAATCAACTCTGAATCAAACTTCCATTAATTTTCAATAATTCGGCCAAGAAATGAAAATTTGTGTGTTTCCACTCACTAAATCTCTCTGCAGATGCTTCCTCATTAAAGTTGCAACATCAGAAAAGTTTTCTCTTAATTACAGCAAGCATAAGCAGTGAATAGACAACTTTCTGGATGTGTACAACATCGTATGTATTTGACTGATTCGAGTAGAATAACTGAATTTGTCATTTTCAGTTGAAATGATTCGTAAAGTTATTTTCATTCAGATCAGTTCAGAAGTCGACACATAATATTTTTTTTCGCTTCTGTTTCCAATGAAAAGAAATCCTGTTTCAAAGATAATTTGCACCAACGCACATAATTAAGTCATTGACTTGAATTGAGAGTATGTGATGATGAATTTGTCACAAAAAAGCTATCGTTACATTCGGTGAATGTCTTTCTTCACATCAGTGCCCTTGAGCGACGATGCTAAGATTGCATGAAAATGTTGTTAAGATGAATCACGAGCAAAATTAGACTGTTGAGTTCGATGGAAGAATTTTGAATGATTCTTCCAAAATTTATTTGCAAAATCAGAATTTTCTGAAGAAACATTTCATCATTGATATTTCTCTCATTTTTCAACGCTTCATTTGTTGCCCGTACGAAGGCTGCAAACGCAAAACGAAACAGTCGGCTAAAATCTAAAACTAATCAGTGCTTTTGTTGGGGTATCGTCAGCCATATGAATCATTTTTCTGTTGGCGATAATTA